ACGGCATTTAGAGAGAGAGAGAGTGCAAGATAAAACAGAAATGCTCATGGATTGTTATCAAAGGTCTTACAGAACATAAATAAAATTTGTTTTATTTCATAATAAACACAGCGTTTAAGCACCTTGTAGACAAAGAGGAATCTTAAAATTCGATGCACAGACAGATGTAATGTATTCACTACGCAACTGTCCCTACCAACCCAGGGAAATATCTATAGACAATAAACCTTAATTTCTCATGCTGGTATAATTGCTGCATTATTTCCGAACAACAATAATTGTAAAACACAGGGGACATTTACTTTCCCCAATTAGGGCATTAAGCACCGACAGAAATTACTACAGCTTATTCCATTTCCTTAAGAGATATTTTAAAAAACAAACACTGTGACATTCTTTAATACAATATTTATAAAAATTGTTAAACACAAAACTAATCTTGACTTGATGCCAGCCAGATAGGCTTATGGAAAAAGCACATTCAGGACAGAGATATCTTGTTTCATATACTTTTCTAGGAGTATTAGTGGTATCTATATAAGCTCATAAAATGACTGGGCCCAGCTATAGGTCCTTTTGCTAACAAAATGAACATCTGTGGCATCTCTCATATGAGGAATAACAAATCACAATACAATTAGGATAAAGATGATAATGAGAACTAAGGGATTCAATAAACGATGAACTAACCCAAGGCACTTGTTGCACTGTACTCTAACCATGGATACCACGTAACACACTTGAGACCAGCATCCTCAGCTTTAGGGACATGAAAAAGATTACCAGGCTCTTGAAAAGAAACTGAAAAATGCTCTTTTTTTCATCTCCACATTAAAAACCCAATGAATCCATTAGATATCTCAAGTGGTCACTCACTTCTTCTAGGGAGGTGTTAAGATCGAACAGCTCTTAAAAGCTACAACTTCAGTTTGGATGGATGCTTTTGGCAAGTGTTTATCTTGGTAAACGACCAGAAATCAGCCATTATGCTATAAGCCCTTCCATAGTTTCATAATTGCCTCTACAGTATATGCTTGCATCAATATTGCTCCTCTCCTAAACAGATCTACAAAGTGGTTCTCTTTCCAGTTCTGAAAGTCTAAAGCAACATCTCTGTAACATATCAGAAATCATGTCTCATAAAAAAATGCTTTTGAGGTTCAGCTGGCTTAATTGCATTAATTACCTCAACCGCCTATAGAGTTACAAGAATCTCCAACCTAATGAGTGCAAGTCCACTGAAAATTTTTATTAACTTCTCAGAAAAAAAA